GGATAAATACCCATGTGTTGTAAACATTATAAAATATAAAGAACAAAATAAAAATCACCTATAATTCCACAACCTAAAGATAACAAGTGAAATAGTATCATGTAAGAAATGTCCTTAACATTAATATTTAACAAACAATTTCTGTCTTCAGAGCATCAAGATGTTTTTCAAAGTTTATTATCTTATACTGTTGGCCAGGCACAGTGGCTCACAGCTGTAATCTTAGCACTTTGGGAGGCCAAGGCAGGCAGATTACCTGAGGTCAGGAGTTTGAGATCAGCCTGGCCAATATAGTGAAACCCCATCTGTACTAAAAATACAAAAATTAGCTGGACATGGTGGCACGCGCCTGTAATCCCAGCTCCTCGGGAGGCTGAGGCAGGAGAATCCCTTGAACCAGGGAGGCGGAGGTTGCAGTGAGCCAAGATGGTGCCACTGTACTCTAGCAAGATTATTATGTTATACTATATATTCAGTTATTTATTCCTTCAGTAAACATTGTTAAACATCTCCTTTCTTCCCAGCATATTGATAGTTGGTGGGTGGTTGGGAGAGGAAGCAATGAAAAAAAAAAAATATATATATATGTATGTGTGTATGTGTATATATATGTGTGTGTGTGTATATATATAATTGCAGTGTTCTCAGCTCACTGCAGCCTTCACCTCCCAGGTTCAAACGATTCTCCTGCCTTAGCCTGAGTAGCTGGGATTACAGGTGCCCGCCACTATGCTTGGGTAATTTTTTATATTTTTAGTAGAGATGGGGTTTCACCATGTTGGCCAGGCTGGTCTCGAACTCCTGACCTTCAGATGATCCACCCTCCTTGGTCTCCCGAAGTGCTGGGATAACAGGCCTGAGCTAGCGCTCCCTGCCAAAAAAAATATTTTTTAATTAAATTTTTTGCTGTCTGCATGCTTACAGTCTGGTACAAAAGACAAAAAAGTTATTTGGTCTTGTTAAAGTTTGGAAATAAATCAGGGACTCATAAATGCCTAATTTATGTTGATGTATGCAAACATACACTAGAAAGCAGGATATTAAAAAAATAATGACACTGGGTAGTTTTATTGTAGAATAATTTTTACCATGGACAATTGTTTGTGAAAATGACACCTTGAAAACACATCTCACTTTTTTACTTGCTGGAGAAGGAAGCTTGAATTACAAGTCTTTTGGGTAGCCTGGTTTGAGCAGTATTAGGAAATAAGCAAGCCTAACTTGGTTAAATTCTAACCTCTCCTGATTCCCAGAAGTCCAAAGTTCATTTGGGGGTAATTCAGCGTGATCCATGTCTTTTGTGATTTCTATAAGGTGAACTAAAGAAATAACTAAAGATGGACCAGTTAGGTTTTGGTAAAAACTGTGATATGTTTTGTTGTGTTTTAAATACTGATGTTGAGTCAGTTCATCTTTCCTACTGAAAATCCTTAAGTGGGAAAAGTAGCTATGTTAATAAATACATAGAAAAACTAGGAGTTACACCAAAATATTAACGCTTGCCACTAGATGGTAAGATCTGAGTGCCTTTTCGTACGTTCTTTAAATTATCTGTATATAGCTTTTTTTTTTTTTTTTACAAGCGTGTACTACTTTTGTATCAGGAAAAAAAGGTTTGTTTTTGTTTCATTTTTTAAGAAGCTTTCATCAGTGGCAAAGGCTCAGTTGAAATTAATGATAAAGGATAACTACTTGCCACGTGTCATGAGCCCAGGGCTGAGCAGAATCCTGCAGTGCTCTGAAACCAGTGAGTGCTGCTGGGACCCTGAGAATCCACAGAGAACAGTGGGGCTGATTGTGCCTCTGCACCTCCTCAGGTGACCGAGGGCTGAGCAGGAGAACACAGACTCTTTCATGAAGAAGTGACTAGTATAGGAAAAACAGAGCCTCTCTGTAGAGATGCTTGAAGTGCTAGCTTTATTTAAAAATCAACTGGCAAAACTGGAGTGAAGAACACACATTTTCAGAAGATCCCGGTTTCCTGTTTTCATTAAGAAAACAAGGAATGCGGAACAGCTGAGTGTGCTGGGGGTGGTGTCACTGCAGCCGGAGGGAGACTTCATTGGTGAAAACTCAGCCTATGGCATTTGTGCGTGGCTGGCTAAGTTTACACGAATGTTGAAACTTCCTTGTGGGGTGAGGATCGAGGACGTCTGAGGCTGGGTCCTGGTGAGCTGGGAGCAAGCTGGTGTGCGGTGCAGCGCGGGCCGGCAGAGAGCGCAGCGGGCGCCACCTGGTAGGTGAGCTGCGAGTGGCGTGGGGCGGTCACTGCTGGCCGAATCCCCGGGGGGCCTTGGGCGAGGGTGACCGGGAAGGCTGCGCGCTGCTTGGCCACTTTACTCGACCACAGCGACCCCACAGGTCTACAGGGGTCCAGCTTAGACTCACCGGCTCACACACACACATCCCGGGTGGGCCAGATAGATTAGCCTGCCTGTCTGACACCCAAGCTGTAGTTTCTCTTTGTTTATGGAATTTCAGACAGTACTGGAAACAGGTCTGGCTGCATATTTTGAGTGATCACCTTCTCCATGTGGAGATGAAAGCTAAAAAGGAAAGAGAGAAGGACAGCTACATTCTATTAACATGAGCACTATCAACATGAGCACAAATTTCCAGGCACAGCGCCCCCGGCCAGCCCTCCCATTCTTAGGCTAGGGCATGACCGCTGCTGGGCACTTCTTTCACATAGAATTCACTTCCCACACGTGTTAGAATCAAACAGCTAGAACAATATAATATTGTTTTAAATTGGGACATAAAGAATATATGTCCTTTTTATTCCTCTGCTTGGCAAACATTTTTGTACTTTTCTTTCCAACATTTGGGAAGAAAGCGGGCAGATGGAGACAGAAGTGTTCTTCAGAGCATTCACACTGGCGGTGTAAATGTTCGGCAGTGCTGGGGGTTGGGAGGGCGGACACAACCAGGTTTGCTGGAAGTTCTTTCAAACTTGACAGCCGTCAAGTGGGTTTGTATACTCAGAAGAGGGCAAGGACACTGATGGCTTACATTTTCACTCATTGCTTCTGGGTTCTTTCCATAGCTCTAAAAATGCACGGCTTGTTAGTGTGGCTCTGCGAAAACACAACACATGACTTGATCCTACAATTTAAACAAATAAAAATGACCTTGCTTTTAAATTTGAAATGCATAGCCCAGGTCAGCGACAAGGTCTGTGCTTTGAAAGGTTCTTGTGTTTCCTCTTTTAAATGTCTGGTTTGGCCTTAAGTAGTATTTACTGAATGCCACATGATCCAGTGGTTGGAGTATGTAGGTTTTGTCCTTATCTTCATTCTTTGCATCTGTTTGAACTCATCACAATACAAAACAAGGTGTTCCTGGGATAGGGAATGTTTTGTCCAAAAGAAGTCAACACGGAGAAAACTTTTCCTATAGTTAAGACAGGGTTTGGTTTTGTTTTTAAATGAGGAGAGAAACTGAGAAGTGGAAGACACGAAATAGAGTTGAAGTCTTTCTTCTGTGTGCCTGTACCCCTTGCTGCCAGAGTTAATCACTAAATATCCCATGCCCCAGCTTTCTCAGCCAGGGAGGTGTCAAGGCAAATTGTAATCCTGTGGAAGTAGTCAGGAGCTGAGTGCCCTTGGCCTCCATTTAGAAAGGCAGCCCAGTCTGCAAAAGACAGGGGCAGGGACATCTCATCCCAGGCCTCCTGGTTCTGCTGCTGACTTTGTCTGTCTGCTGCTGACTTTTGGTTTTTTTGTGTGCCTCAGATAACACTTTGAAAAACAGGAATCTTAATGTCTGCTGTCTATATTCAAAGAGACTGTAGATGACCAATGAAATTATCTACTGGACAATGCTTTCATGTCTTTTTTTTTTTTTTTGAGACAGAGATTTTGCTCTGTTGCCCAGGCTGGAGTGCAATGGCACGATCTCGGCTTACTGCAACCTCCACCTCCCGGATTCAAGTGATTCTCCTGCCTCAGCCTCCTGAGCAACTGGGATTACAGGCACCCGCCACCATGCCCAGCCAATTTTTGTATTTTTAGTAGAGACGAGGTTTTACCACATGTTGGCCAGGCTGGTCTCAAACTCTTGATCTCAGGTGATCCACCCACCTTTGCCTCCCAAAGGGCTAGGATTATAGGAGTGAGCCACCATGCCCGGCCTTTCGTGTCTTTTATAATGAATTCTTTTAAAAATAGTAAGGACTTACTGTGTGCTTGACTCGTTGAAATCATTATCTCTGAGTACTGATGGACATAAAGATGGAAAAAGATGGAAATAGTAGACATTTTAGACTACAAAAGTAGGGAAGGAGGGGAGTGAGGGTTGAAAAATTACCTGTTGGGTACAGTGTTCACTATTTGGGTGATGTGTACACTAGAAGCTCAAAGCTCATCATTACACAATAGATCCATGTAACAAGCCTGCACATGCACTCCCTGAATCTAAGATAAAATTTTAAAAAATAATACAATCATTATCTCATTACATTGTTTTAAGCCTGTGAGTTAAATATTTGCATCTCCGTTTTTACTCAGGAAGAAACTGAAGTTCAGAGAGGTTTATTAACTTGCTTACCCAGGCCAGGTGCAGTGACTCATGCCTGTAATCCCAGCAGTTTGGGAGGCCGGGGAGGGTGGATCACCTAAGGTCAGGAGTTCCAGACCAGCCTGGCCAACATGGTGAAACCCTGTCTCTACTAAAAATGTAAAAATTAGCCTGGCGTGGTGGTGTGCCTCTATAATCCCAGCAACTCAGGAGGCTGAGATAGGAGAGAATTGCTTGATCCCGGGAGGCGGAGGCTACAGTGAGCCAAGATCGCGCCATTGCAACTCCAGCCTGGGTGACAGAGTGACCTGTCTCAAAAAAAAAAAACTTGCTTACCCAGTTGTTGTAGATCCAGGTTTACAACATAGGTGTGTCAACTCTTAAAATCATACCAGCTTGCTGTACTGCAACAAACACAAATACTAGTTTTTACCATTATGTGTATTGCGTGTCATTATAATATTCTTTTCTCCCTCTTCTAGGAAAAGCAGATGACATTCTGAATGGAGACCAGGACAAGGAACAAAAAGACCCTTACTTTGTGGAGACCCCCTATGGTTATCAGCTAGACTTAGATTTCCTCAAATATGTGGATGACATACAGAAGGGAAACACCATCAAAAGACTGAACATCCAGAAGAGGCGGAAGCCATCCGTGCCATGCCCAGAACCCAGGACCACATCTGGTCAGCAAGGTATATGGACTTCCACAGAATCCCTCTCATCCTCCAACAGTGATGACAACAAGCAGTGCCCCGACTTCCTCCTAGCCAGAAGCCAAGTTACGTCAACTCCAATCTCAAAGCCACCTGCCCCTCTGGAGACCTCACTCCCTTTTCTTACCATCCCAGAAAATCAACAGCTGCCACCTCCCTCACCACAACTCCCAAAGCATAACCTTCATGTCACCAAGACACTGATGGAGACCCGGAGAAGACTGGAACAGGAGAGAGCCACCATGCAGATGACACCAGGTGAGTTCAGGAGGCCCAGGCTGGCCAGTTTTGGAGGCATGGGCTCCACAAGCTCCCTCCCCTCTTTTGTGGGTTCTGGAAACCACAATCCTGCCATACACCAGCTTCACAATGGATACCAAGGTAATGGGGATTATGGTGGCTATGCCCCAGCTGCTCCCACCACTTCCTCCATGGGGAGCTCCATCCGCCACAGCCCCCTGAGCTCAGGGATCTCCACCCCAGTGACCAACGTGAGCCCTATGCACCTGCAGCACATCCGTGAGCAGATGGCCATTGCTCTGAAACGCCTGAAGGAACTGGAGGAGCAGGTGCGAACCATCCCTGTGCTCCAGGTAAAGATCTCTGTCTTGCAAGAAGAGAAAAGGCAGTTGGCCTCACAGCTGAAAAACCAAAGGGCTGCATCCCAGAACAATGTCTGTGGTGTGAGGAAGCGGTCCTACAGTGCAGGGAACGCCTCCCAGCTGGAACAGCTCTCCCAGGCCCGAAGAAGTGGCGGGGAACTATACATCGACTATGAGGAGGAAGAAATGGAGAGCGTAGAACAGAGCACCCAGAGGATAAAGGAGTTCCGACAGCTTACAGCAGACATGCAAGCCCTGGAGCAGAAGATCCAGGACAGCAGCTGTGAGGCCTCCTCAGAGTTCAGGGAGAATGGAGAGTGCCGGTCTGTGGCTGTGGGTGCCGAGGAGAACATGAATGACATCATCGTGTACCACAGAGGCTCCAGGTCCTGTAAGGATGCAGCTGTAGGGACACTTACTGAGATGAGGAATTGTGGGGTCAGTGTGACAGAAGCCATGCTTGGAGTGACAACTGAAGCTGACAAAGAAATTGAGCTGCAACAGCAGACCATAGAAGCCTTGAAGGAAAAGATCTATCGCCTAGAAGTACAGCTTAGAGAAACCACCCATGACCGGGAGATGACTAAACTAAAACAAGAGCTGCAGGCTGCTGGATCGAGGAAAAAGGTTGACAAAGCCATGATGGCCCAGCCACTTGTTTTCAGTAAGGTGGTGGAGGCGGTGGTGCAGACCAGAGACCAAATGGTCGGCAGTCACACAGACCTGGTGGACACGTGTGTTGGGACCTCCGTGGAAACAAACAGTGTAGGCATCTCCTGCCAGCCCGAATGTAAGAACAAAGTCGTAGGGCCTGAGCTGCCCATGAATTGGTGGATTGTTAAGGAGAGGGTGGAAATGCACGACTGTTGTGCTGGGAGGTCTGTGGAAATGTGTGACAAGAGTGTGAGTGTGGAAGTCAGCATCTGCGAAACAGGCAGCAACACAGAGGAGTCTGTGAATGACCTCACACTCCTCAAGACAAACTTGAATCTCAAAGAAGTGCGGTCTATCGGTTGTGGAGATTGTTCTGTTGACGTGACTGTCTGCTCTCCAAAGGAGTGTGCCTCCCGGGGCGTGAACACTGAGGCTGTTGGCCAAGTGGAAGCTGCCGTCATGGCAGTGCCTCGTACCGCAGACCAGGACACTAGCACGGATTTGGAACAGGTGCACCAGTTCACCAACACCGAGACAGCCACCCTCATAGATTCCTGCACCAACACTTGCCTAAGCACTTTGGACAAGCAGACCAGCACCCAGACTGTGGAGACGCGGACAGTAGCTGTAGGAGAAGGCCGTGTCAAGGACATCAACTCCTCCACCAAGACGCGGTCCATTGGTGTTGGAACATTGCTTTCTGGCCATTCTGGGTTTGACAGGCCATCAGCTGTGAAGACCAAAGAGTCAGGTGTGGGGCAGATAAATATTAACGACAACTATCTGGTTGGTCTCAAAATGAGGACCATAGCTTGTGGGCCACCACAGTTGACTGTGGGGCTGACAGCCAGCAGAAGGAGCGTGGGGGTTGGGGATGACCCTGTAGGGGAGTCTCTGGAGAACTCCCAGCCCCAGGCTCCACCTGGAATGATGACCGGCCTGGATCACTACATTGAGCGCATCCAGAAGCTGCTGGCAGAACAGCAGACACTGCTGGCTGAGAACTACAGTGAACTGGCAGAAGCTTTCGGGGAGCCTCACTCACAGATTGGCTCCCTCAACTCTCAGCTCATCAGCACCCTGTCGTCTATCAACTCTGTCATGAAATCTGCAAGCACTGAAGAGCTGAGGAACCCTGACTTCCAGAAAACCAGTCTGGGTAAAATCACAGGTAGGTGGTACCCTGAGGACCTGGGAATGAGGAAGATTGGGGGAAAATGTCTTTCCAGGAGCTAAGGATTATTTTTTTAACTGCTGGAACCATTTTTGGAGGAGAAATGGAGAAAGCTTTAGAGTGGTAATCTGTAGAATGAAAACTAAGAATCAAAATCCATAAGCACCTCTGCTGATTCTTATTATCTGGTAGCCTCACTGGCCTCTGGCTGAGGACTAACGCTGGAAGAAAAGTAAACTGGTGTTGGCTGGCCTAGAGGTTGTCTTCTGGGGCTGCTAGTTTGGTAAGATGCTTTATTCTTTGTCTTTCAGTTATTTACTTGCTCATTATTTATAGAACTGCCTTTAAAAAAATCCTACCCTGTTTGTACCCACTATTACCAGTATATTATCAATTAGAAATGCTGACATAAAATGTTTTCAGTTAAAACGTTTATGAGAGGAGAGACTCCATTAATTCATTCATTAAATTCAGCAAATAATTATTGAATTTGAGCCAGGTGCAATGGTACACATATGTAGTTCCAGTTACTCTGGAGGCTGAGGCGGGAGGATTGCTAGATCCCAGGAATTTGAGGCCAGCCTAGGCAACATGGTGAGACCTCCATCTCTAAAAAAATATGAAGTAAAAATTGTTACTTGGATTTCTACTCGGTCTCAAGCATAGGTATAGGCGGTGAATATAGTGTGAACAAAACAAGAACAGAGCCTCTGTCCCTGCGGTGCTTACATTCTAGGTGGGGTGCAGGAGATAGACAGTAGACCTATAATATGTCAGGAGGTGATAAATACTGTGAAGAAATTAACTCCAGTTGTGGGAACAGCAAGTGGTAGTAGTCAGGGTGAGGGCTGTTTGAGATGAGGTGGGCAAAGAAGGGACCCTTGAGCAAGAACTTGGAGAGAAGGGAGTCTTTTCCCAGTCTTCATTTT